ACTGTTTCCCTCTGCAGAAACTTGTGGGCTGTTTATAGGACAGCCAGAACCTTTGTGCATGTTCCAATTGCAAGAAGTGCTCGTGTAGAACCTCTTTCAGGGCCATTTTCAGAGGAGAAAAAAGTACAGGTGGATGTATTCCATCCTCGCAAATAATGATCAAAATGAGCCTGCTAACAGTCTCTGTCCTCCTGAGGAATAACAGTGAAGTAAAAGTAAGGCATTAAACAAGTCTTGCATTAAATTTATTTGCTTTTTCTTCTTAGGTCAATAAATTTAAGATTCAACAGCAAAGATGGACATGAAGAGACACTTAATTTGAAAAAAATATATAATTAACTCATCATTTTACAACAACATACAACATATTAGTAGACATCTGCTCTGGGTGTTCAGTTGTTATTCCACTTGTTTTCCACCACATTACAGTGAAAAATAACTTTATTTATAAAAGCACTTTTTGAGACAAAGTTACAAAGTGCCATACAAGTAAAAGCAATAAACCAAAATGAAAAAGTGATAAAACTGCAGTGATAAAATGAACAGATTATAAATCACAGAGAGTAATAAAATGAACACATAATATACTGACAATCAGAGAGATGATAGCAATCAATCAAATACAAAAGCAAAGTAGAAGCAAGTTTGTAAAAGTTTCTGGAGTGATTTGCAGGAGGAAGTTTTTGGCAGATTCTTATTGCATTTAGAACTTATTTCCTTGCTAAGCCATATTATTGCAAGATTTCTTTTCTAATTGTGTGTCAAAAGTCTCCTTATTTCAGTATTTATTTGCTTAATTTAAAGACAAATTTCAGAACAAAATGAAAACTAGAACCCTTGTTTACAAGATTAACTATTCATTATCATTGCTGTAAAATCACAGAGGGGGACAAAGCAAATCTTCCATCATCATGCTGTGCAGTCTGGATATTGAGCTGATGCTGTGTTTTTTTTTTTTTTTTTTTTCTATCAGCAGAACACTTGAGGAAAAAGCGGTGTAAACTGGTGCTTCAATCACTTTGCAAACGGCCTTCTTCTGTTGCCCTGCAGCTGTCGGTAAGTCTCTGCAGTGAGAAGCCCTCCCTCGGGTTTGTCCCACAGCCTGCTAAGGTTGGTATTGCTACAACACCCCTGTGTGTTCACCTTGCACAGGCACTGCTGGGAACATCGTCATCACTATCACTCAGAGCGGAGGTGCAACCTTTCTAATGTGCTGAGATGAAAGATTTACATGCTTTGTGAAAACAGATAAAAATAAAAGATACATATTTCACATTTATCTGTCTCTGTGTGTCTCTCTATCGTTGAACACACCATTCCTCAACCGTGTCCAACTTTGACAGCCGCGGGTAATGACAGCCGAACGCTCACTCGCTCCTCATTTACTCGGAGCTGGCAGTCTAGCAGCTCGCTCAGAACTCTTAAGTGCTTGTTAATTTAATATGCAAATAAGTCTCTTGTCAATCTGAATGCATTTAAATGAAAAAGCTCCTGCTTCCACAGGGCAGGGACTTCTGCAGGTTGACAGTGGCTGTGCGTACGTTGGAAAAAGTACAAAGGCCAGGGGCAAGTTGAACAGAGTACAGAAGAGGTGTTGCTGAAGGATTGCAGAGAGACACTGAGCTATAATGTCTGAGGGACAGAGAATGAAAGCCATGATGGTACATAGTGAACATGCATGGTGGCTGGTTGCAGCCTGAATATGTGAAACACATGAAGGTGATGCCATCATCACTTGTACTTTGGCCCTTCTGTTTCAGCCATTGTTTCCAGCAGATAGAGCTTTAAAACAGAACCCGGGGTTACGAATCGGAGCAAGCACAAGCGTCAGCCTGCACAAACATGATAAAGTGGAAGAGACACACACCATCATCTACCCACATCCCTCCGTTAATGACAGACCTTAGCTCAACCTTTGCCTACATATGGGTGGCGCAGTGTGCTGAAAGTAAGGTGAGCGTGTTATTGGGAAGGTGGGGGGGTGGATTGCAGGCGGTGTTAAGTCAAGCAGGAACCCTCAATGTTGCTAATTTATTTACAGATTTAATTAGATGGATAGAGCCCTCACAGATATAAGAAAGAGAGGAGAGATGTTGCCAGCGTTACAGCACTTTAATTATGGTAGCAGGCTCCTGATCCCTGCGCTCCGCTGTCTGGGGAGCCAGTTAATTAAAATCCTCATTATTTTACTTTTAATTAGTTCCCCCCTCTTTTGTTTCCTTTCACCATATGGCCGTGTTCCGTGGTCAAATTAACGTAATTGAGCTAATTAAGCCGATCACTTTAATTATTCAAAGCATTCCGATTGGCCAGGAGAACTTTTCTCCCTCTCCCCTCCTTGACATTCCTGAATGAGGCTTGGAGTTGTAAAGTCGCTCTCTTTGTCATTAGCTGCTCTACTCCCCTGCTGAAGGCAGTGAGTTATAGCTGCAACATGCCTCACTTCCTACATGTTCCAGCACTGTCTCATGTTTCACTCCCATACAATGTAGAGTATGCAGCGCAACGCTGGAGCCCTCAGCGAGTTCAAAGAGGATTCAGAAATCATTGGAACATTTAGCACACTATGGTTATGACAAATTAGGTGCATGTTGGTAGTTGCTGTAGCTGGTTCTAAACAGTCATCTGGTGCTCAGGGATTGGAAGCTACCATAAATAGCTTTGGCAGCCCAAGCTGCTTTCAGAAGGATTGTCAGTGCAGACAAATGCCACAGACTACCATTGAATTTACATGCTGGGATTTTGAAAATGGTGACAACCAGATGGCAGTTTTACAGCAAACATACCTATGTTGAGCTCAGCGCCCAAGGGTGGAAAAGACCTGTCTATCAGCATTCATCTGGAGCACAAACTCCACACGCAACGCAACTCTCTCACATCATGAACGCTCAGCTCATTGGTCTGTTAGAATTGTAGAAGCAGTTACATTGATGATGTCTTTTCAGAACTGCTGGATTTATGTTAGAATACAAAGTCTTGGCTCAAAGTAATAAATCCATAAGATTTTCATGTAAGTAAATGAACAACAATGCAGTTTTAAGAAAGCTTTTACATTGCTGTTCTAAGCCTTTTTGGAGAAAAATCCTCAGATAGGAGGCAATGTTCATTACATTTCTGGTTTGCTGGAATATTTAGAGCATGAGTAATGATAAGCATCACAGCTGAACAGATAGAAAGTCAAACTTTATCAACATGATACAGAACCAACACATTGTTCGTAAGGATGACGGCTCTGGCAACAAATCTTTGTACAGAGCCCAGCTGAACAGCACATACTGCACTGTGATTACAACAGTGACAACTCCAGTATCAAAGGTCACTTAAAGATGAGTTCACTTAAATTTCAATAAAGCATACTTTCCCACTTGGGCACAGCATTATCTAATCATGCAGATAGCTGTGTCCACCTTTAAGCTTCCATCCTAACAATTTGTAGGTAGATTGTATCATTTGTAGCTTTTAACTCTGTTGCAGTTGTTAATCTTCCAACCCTCCAGATTGTTCGCTGCTGATACAAACTAAGAGAGTGTCACATATCAATTGCCACTTGCCCCATCAAAGTAATTCCTGTGAGAAATGTTGCTGCTTCCAGCCCTCCAAAATACTTCCTTATGTGCTCTAATTTATTCATCATGCACCACCAGAGCAAAATGGAAAAAATGTAACAAAGGGTTTTGAAGAGCCCGAAGCAGTGATATTTCTCAGGACTGCAGTGAGGCCAAGCAGCAAATGCTTGCTACTTCTGTGGTGTGGTGGCAGGTCAAAAATATGGTCCGCGAATCCCACATTATGCAAAAAAGGAGAAGGACAATTCTAGTACAGTTTAATGACCACTGTTGACAAGCAATTTTATGGGCATGCAGACTCTCATTAAGTAATAAAGACAAGCGAAACTAAAATAGAAATACTATGGGCTCAATGATTTGATTTTGAAAACATCTTGAACAACGGTTGTTGTTGTTGAGCCCGCCGTGTTCTCCTGCGGTTCACACTTCAGTTCACATCTGGTGACACAAAGCAGACTGCACTGTCACAGAGATGTGTAAGCCAAAGCCAGCACATTGCTGGGTTCCAAACACTTGGCCTGGCCTCTCCACACACGGAAAGGCCTAGTCATTAGAAAGAGCTTCTGGCTGACAGACAGGCCAATCAGCATCAAGGAAAGCAGCCATCTTGGATCTATGTCACACGAGTCTGGGCAAGAAGAAGGAGGCTTCGTTGGTCCTCACCGTCCTTATCATAAAAGCATGTAAAAATATCCTGGCATCTTCTTGTGTCTTCACACAGTATGAGGTGGAGGAGCTCAGGCAATTACACTCATCTGCATGTGTTAATATGATTAATTAGCAGGAATAAACACTTTCCTATGACACAGGCTGCATGGTGAGCCACACACCTGCAGAAGCTCTGATAAAAGACAACGCCTCATGGCAAAGAGCCTTTTCATGAGACCTGCTAATTGGCATCTGAAAACGTTCCGGCTAATTAGGAAAAGGCAGATGAGGCTTGATTAGTTTGAATGCAAAGTGTAACTTGTGGTGCGGTGGGACTCGGGAATGTGCCGAGGTTTTATTTCTTCACCATCACGATACAAAGATAATTGTAATTGTGATCATTTGCATACGTTAATGAATTTGCGTGACGCTTCTTGATCAGACGTGGAATAAATAATTGATGCAGTATCAGCACCTACCACGACAAGTGGGACGTTTTGAAATAGCTAAGCGCATTAAGGTGCAAGTTTGATGGCTGCCATGCTCCCAGGCAAGGTGTAAAAGTAGAACAGATGCTATCATCTGCTTCCTACATGCTGCATATTCCAGCACCGTATCACACTAAGATTAACTCCCAGCCTCCGATGGTATGCTGAGACTTAAAGTTTTAACATAGCATTAAAAAGGCACACAAAGTTAGAGCAAATTAGATGCAGCTCAAGAAAATAATTTTTAGAAACCATGCAGAGAGTGGTGGAGAACAAAGAGCTGCGATGAGAAACAAACCAGGCTGTGTGGAGCTTTAATTGGAACATGGTAGATACTAAATACATCTGATTGTTTCAAATGCCCTGGATGTAGAGAGGGCCACTCCCCTTTAATTAGCCTGCTTTCAGATTAGGCTTTATTAGAGGCAGGCAAGCAGACGGCCACCGGGCCAGTCAGCTACAGGATATGCCCCAAGTTCAGCCGCCCAGGAGCACCAGCAGCACAGATACAAGGGCTCATGTTTAATTGCTTCTGTAAATGGTCAGAGCTCAAGCCCCCTAATTCCATTCCTTGGGGTAATCAGGCATGTTTTCACCATACAGGGGTAAAGAGTAGGAGAAAGCCAGTAACATCCACAATGCTAGATACTGTGAAATACAATGCCACTTGAATACCACTAAGGGGCTTCTGTATGACATCATCTCACTTTGTGACATGTTAGAGGACAACAGTTTTTAATAGAAGTTTTGTTTTAAATGCACATTTTTTCCACACATTTAACAGGCACCTGATAAAGAAATAAAACCCTACAGAAGAAAAACAACAAAACCTTTACTGGATAATTTGACTTCTTTTTTGTTTAGGGCATGTGAGAAATCAGTCATTGAGGATAATACCGAAAGGTCTTTGTTTTCCGTACGTGCTTCTCAAAGTTTCTGGTGCATAAATTCATTTAAGGGTTTTCCTGTGATTGAACATTTTCAGGTACTCCGGATTTTTTGCCTGACACCCATCATTTTTATCTTCAGTCCTCAGTGTGTTAGATCTCAAGATTAACATATACAAGAGAGAGATCAAGAGTTCATTAAAAACACGCTCAGGGGAAATAATGTCACATGGCATAAGCAAAGCTTTGACAGTCATTTTACAGCAGTCCATCAAACGTATATCAAGCTCCTTTTGTTCCCTTTTAGTTGGTGCTGGTTTTCATTGTCACCGTTTTCCTCAAGCCTTCTTTTAGTCCTCAAGGAGCCTTTTGCCAATGCAGTCCACACATACTCTTAGTCTTTGCATGATGCACAGACCACTTTAACATTGACCACAACAGAAACAGGACTTTGTATGCATTAAAGAGTCTCTGATATGGGGAGTCATGAAAGATATCTTGAATGAAAAACAACATTCTGTCCGGGAGAAGACTGGTGGGTGGCTGGCAGGGTTTGGGGAGGGGCTGGGTCCACATTAACAACGGCAACAGAAGCAGGAGAGGAGTGCACTGAGGAGAAGTGAAGCTCGGGTGGGAAACATGACCGCATCACGCAGAACTGCTGCCACTCAGCATACCTGCAGTCCAGAGAGAAGAGAAAGGGTCTCAACACATCCGTCAAGTTCACTTGTATGGCTTTCTGGTACTGTCAATACAAAGCCCCACATCCAAGTGTTATGCAAGTCTTCTCTTTATTGCAAATTAGAGCTCCTTTAAACTTAGACGCACCCACATGTACAAATAAAAGTGTATTGTATAGCACCTATTTGAAGTTTAATTATTAAAAAAAAAAAAAACAATATACAACATGATACAAAAGAACTTATTATAGTATAGTTAAAAAGAGCAGTGTAACATATACAGCTCATGAAAATTGAAGCCATTGCCAGGTCAGTTCTGAGATGGCATTTCAGCTCTTCAAAAATGTTATCTTGTGATATTCATTTTTTTAGTTGTGGAGAAAAGTATTATGATTTTTACGCAGCAATAGCACAGTAAAATAAAAAAATACTGATGATGGACTTTTACTGATGCATTATTATGTAAACAGTATTATAATGTCACATCGGGTGAAGGTGAAGTAATTTTTTTTAGCAATCTCACATCCAGTTAAGCAGTTTCATCTAAATCCTTGTATTTTACAATCTAATGACATGTAGCGGAGTTGAAGTATAGTTTCAAAATTGTACCTAGTACAGAACTTGAGCAAATGTATTTGTTACATCTCACAACCCACATCTTTATGTTTAATGTTTAAACATAAAGATGTGGGTTTCTTAATGTTTTGTTTAATCTTAATGTTTTGTTTCTTAAATGTTTTTCAGGCATCCTTCTACTGGTATTTAATTTTATTCTTTTTTCCCATTCCTGCACTGACACTTTTGGCTGCATCACGAATGTAGCACCTTATGCATTCACATTTTTACCCACTTTACTGCTTCAATTTCTTATAGTAATAACATGTCCTGCTGTGGTCATTTTTCCCAGGGGGAATCAACAGATTTTATTATCCACATTATAGCCCAGTGATATTCATGCAACAAGAATTTACGCTATGCTGTAAATACAGACGGTTCTGCAGTGTTGTGTCAGCAGCCCCTTTATTTACCTTCTGGTCTGTCAGCACAGAGCTGCTCTGAAGTGGAGGCAGGTGGCTGTTAAGCAAGGCAGCGCCGGGTCTGTCGTGCTCACAAAAGATTGTACCATTGATGTAATGGAAGCGATCGCCAGGCATGAGTCTGTTTCTACAGGTGGCACAGCTGAAACACTGCAAATTAGTGGAGAAAAAAATTAATGATCAGAAATGTCAATTCAGACCAATATCGGGCCATTACAGCACATTAATATACTATGGGCGTGACTTCAGCTAATATGAACCTCAAAACTGAAATGCTTAGTTAGTAAAATCACCTGATATAACTGAACTGAAATGGAATAGAAACATATTATTTTAAATATGAGATACTGTAAAACCATTAATAAATCTCTTAAAATAAGTCTCAAAAATGTAATAATAAGAACATGAGGCAAAGACAGTATAATTTCCTTCTGCTCCTTTCTTGCCACCTCTACCCACCAAATCCCAGATGTTTCTGTCAAACAAGCAGTGGGAGATGAAGCACAATGATGCGAGAGCTGGGAATTTACCTTGAGGTGGTAAACATTTCCCTGTGCCCTCATCACCATCTCGTTGGCTGGGATTGACTGGCCGCAGGCGCTGCACGCCCCACTGTGCCCAAACAGTCTGCAAACACAAAAACACAGATTGCTCTGTCTGCATGGCCTGGAAAATCTAAAACCAGTAGCTTCTTCTCCTTCTCCTCCTCCCTCCCTCCCACCTTCCTTCCGCTGCCACCTCTTCCTTCCTCTCACCTGATGTAGTCACTCCGACACAGAATCATGCCCCCTTTGCTATAGCAGGTAGTGCCAATGTCCCCCAGCTGGGCTTGGCAGCAAGAGCACTTGAGGCAGCGCGTGTGCCAGTAGCGCTCCATGGAGAAGAGCAGGAAGCGATCGGCAATCTTTCCCCCACATCCTGCACACGACCTGGGAGCTGGTGGTATGCCTGACGCTTGGCTGTTCACCATGCTGATGTAGGCCCTCAGAGGCCTGGACACACAGGTTGACAGTTGACAGGTACATTCATTAACATTCATGAACCACCTTTTTAAGACAACATAAATACTTCTAAATACACTGCTTCCTCAGAATTTGTCTAGAAGGGAAATGTCTTTAAAACTTGTAATTGTTGTGTAAAATAGATTTATTTGTAGAGGATATTAACTTTTAAAAAATTACAAGTTTATAAAAAAAAAACAATTTTTACATTTAAGACTACACAGATTAACCACTTCCACCAGCACTGTTAAACCTGAAGGAGGATTCAGCATGACTGCAAATGACTGATAACACAGTGACTGTGAGGCTGTGACAGGGTTGACCTACACAAAACATCCTGAGCATTACAAGAACTAACAAGTGTCTTTAACTGTTACCAATGAGCTTTATCAAACGGAATTGTCCAGATTTGTTGGGTTTCTCTACATAATATTGTTGACGCTACTATGTGAAGTGCCCTAAAATGACTTATCTGTCACTCTCTCTCTCACACACACACACACACACACACACAAAAATTCACCGATACTTCTCAGTACACACTACGCAGCACATGCAATGTGAAATCTAAAAGTTTCTTCTGTACAGCTCTATAACTTAAATCTGTCAAAAGTAATCTCTCTATTGATTTGACAGGCACAGTAGTTATACAGGTATTAAGTCAACGGTATGTGAGGGGGGGAAGGGGAAAGTCACTAAATGGGACTTTTGGAAGAGTGCCAGTAATGAGACTATGAAGCAGTACTTAAGTATTTTCTTCTGGTAAACTGATGTTTTACCTTTGCATTGTGTATACACGCCTCTAGCTTCACTGACATGCTGTTTACAAGCGGAGCTGCTAGCTTAAAGGGAGCGAGAAATGCGTGCGGAGGTGAAACGAGAGCAAAGAGAAGAAATGTGTTACCTCGCCGAGACAAAGCTTTTCCTCCTGCCGAGAGAACTTTGAGAAGCTGTGGAAATATTCACAGGTAGCTGGGCACGCTTACAGTTGGACGTCCGCACTTGGACGTGACATGCTGTGGTCTCTATAGCTTTCCAGAAAAAAAGGCAAAGCAAAACAACATTAAACCGGCTCGGTGGCGATAATAGTTGAGCAAACTCTCTCCGACGTCCAGCTCGGCGGTTCAATACCTACATGTAGCGGATAGGAGGACACATGACTCAGCTCCTGCCTCTCCCCTGCTCTCTGTCACTGCTATCTGTCTATCAACACGCCGTGCTCTCTTTCTGAGGCTTTTGACAGGGACTATTCACTAAATTGCGCAAGGGGCTATTTAAATTACCAAGAGGGGACGCAGCCGTCAAGAGGCGCGCAGCAGCCAATAGGAGGGCAGGGGGCGTGTCCGCAGTCAAAATGATTTATGAGTTTATCGTGACTTATTAATATGCAGCCACATTCCCGGAGCTGCCACAGCTTCAGCCACAGTGCAGGAACTAATCATGGTAGTTTACTGTAGTAAATGTCACTCCGTTTTATTTATAAAATCTGGTAAATTATAATATTGTAAACTTTACCTTTTACATGTTATTATTTTTCTTAATTTTTAAAGTCTTTTTTCTGTTGTCTTAGTCAATCATATTAATTATTTTTTTTAAAAAGTGCTCACTTTTGTCAACTTGTAATACATATTAAGGTTATAATACAATTGTATTGTATTATAAGTGATACCCAACAAATCCAAATGGCTCCCTTTAAGCAGCTCTGTAGTGACAGAAGGAAGAAAAAATGTTCCTTTTAACAGGGAGAAACCTCCAGCAGAACAAGGCTCAGGGAGGGTGGCCATTTGTCTGAACTGGTTAGGGTGAGGGTTGCAAGGTGACTCTGTGGTTAGCACTGTTGCCTCGCAGCTAGAAGATCGCTTGTTCGCGTCCCAGTTAGGATGCCTGGGATCTTTCTGCGTGGAGTTTGCATGTTCTCCCCGTGCAGTGTGGGTTCTCTCCAGGTTCTCCGGCTTCCTCCCATACAGTCCAAAAACATGTTGAGGTTAACTGGTGATTTTAAATTGTCCGTAGGTGTGAATGTGAGTGTGCTTGGTTGTCTGTCTCTAAGTGTAGCCCTGTGATAGACTGGTGACCTGTCCCTGCCTTCGTCCTAAGTCAGCTGGGATAGGCTCCAGTCCCCCCACGACCCTAATGAGGATTAAGTGGTGTATAGATAATGGATGAATGGATGATTAGGGTGAGGGTAAAGGGGAGAGGGAACAGGAAGGCATAAAGAAAACAGACAAACAAGGCATGACAGAACAATAAACATGGAAGTGGTTGGTGAAGCCAGAAATCAGAAATATTTATCTCCACAGCTACAGATAACTACAGAGAGAATAAAACACAAACTACATTTCACTGACCAACATGTG